TTGTTGCACATCTAATATCTGAAACATGTTTCCCTCCTGTTCAGTTAAGATAAAGAGACTCTTTGTTCTAGACATCGAATAGGGGATTTTAAAAGGGACGAATGGGGTCTTGAGGTTATTTTTGCAGAAAGTTTGTTGCTTGCCTGTCGGAACGAAAGTTCCTTTGAGGAGGACTGAAAGTAGGAATAGAACATCATGATAGATTCGCACGCAGGGTTAAAGTTTCCTTGGAAGGTCATGACACAATTTTGATCTTATTCCGTCTTTGTCGTCATGACTTTCTTCATTGGCGTAGTATAATTGCAGCAATTGCTATTTTCGTCCTGTTATATGTCGTCTAAACTTCACACCTTCATCTCTATATCATGACTCAAGATGCGATGTGCAACAGAAACAATCTGAGTAATTTTTGGATCGTCATTTGGCGTCATTTGAGTCATCTCATTAAGCGAATGCGTCATGGTTAAATAAGTAACCTAGTACTATATACAGAGTACAATGGGAAGACCTCTATACAAGCTCCTCGTATGTTAGGAATATCAAACGCCCGAGGGCATCCTATTTATTCATCAAGGGTAGTATACAAACTACGAAAAGCCAGGATTCATTGATCAAGGGGGGTAACTTCTAGCAGTCAAATCATGCATATGAAAAAGTAATGAGTATTCATGTGCACCAGATATTTTTTGATTTCTCGTTCGAACATTACACACAGTAACAAGATTGTATTGAAGTTCTGCAACAATCAACCAAAGATATGCAAGAATCCCCATTTCCTAGAATATGTGTTGGTCAAGATTCATTAAAGTCATCCGCTATGGCGGCCCGGAGTCCTTTGAGCCTGAGTCTCCAGACGCAGAATCCCTAGATCTTTCAAGTTCCCATTACGAGTTTGTAGATACCGACGCATATGTAGTATACTAGCATCTCCTAAGATCGTAAATGAAAAAGTCGCCTCTGAACACTTACAATCTCACATCTCCCGAGAAAATGCACATTAGGTATCTTTGAGTTGTCAATGAAGCTAATTTGAAGCAGCGAAAATAAAGGATCTACAGATTTGCCCCCCCCCCAACCTCTCTCTCTAAAACATGGCTCCATGGTCTGGAAATTCTGTATGTGGTATAATTCGAAATATTCATCATGCCAATGATGGGCTGTCAAACTGTAGGACTTACTCGCTATTCTCCCTTTCTAACCTCTCGCTAAACGTGATCTTTCATTGGTTAGGATTCGCAGTATTTCTTTAACCCCGATCAATATAAGTATTATCTGGTGGCAGCACATTAGCATAGGTACGGAACCTTCATGAAAATCAACTTCAAACTAAAGGGCAAGGCTTTGGAGTTTTGAAGCATCGATAAACAGAGCTAATCAACACAACACACATCCTCCTTATCAAAGCAAAAACTATCACAAAGTGAACACGAAATATAATAATTCTTCAAATTAGGGTGTGCTGCACCAGCATTTTGGAGCCTCAAGTGGGCGTAGACTCGACGACACAGATGGGAACCCCATTGTAATCTCCCTCGAGCCGCAAGCTCTAAAACAAAACTACCTACTCAACCCATCAATTGTCTAATATCCTCTGGAGGCCATCTAACCTGAGCAAAACTAAGACACCTCTTAATACTCTGCAAAAACTTTCTCGTAATTTCATCACCCATCACATGTCCCTTATCAGTCTCATGCAATTTCTCGCGCGCACTACGCTCGTGAATACCCACCATCGTCACACCGATTGGCCATGCAGCCTTTCCAATACTAAGACGTAGATACCCGTCATTTGCATCGACATATCGTTTTTCCTGCGCTGCTTTGACGATTTCAACAACCGGGCCTAGGATATCCTCATCGAGGTCTCCTTTTTCGAATTTGCGAAAGAGCTACATATCATTAGTTTAAGATTCTATAATATAGATACGTATGCTAAAGAAACTTACCGGAGTCATGTTATCTTTACTCTGCACCATGGCATTATAAGCCGCCTTACTAGCAAACGTATCCCTCTTCTCTTTTTCAAGCGCATGTTCCCACTCCTGCAAAACCATCGTAAAATAACTTGCCAACTGTCTAAACAAATACTTCCTCCCCTCCTCATCCTTCGGTACACCCTCAACCTTCATATCCTTTTCCTCGACCAAAACCAACGTCGTAGGAATCGGTCCCGTCGTCATAACCACCCCCAATTTCCTATACCTCCTCAATCTCTGTTTATGGCTCTCCGCAAAAAGTTTCGCAGGGTGTCCCATCTCCCGTAACTTCATCACCAACTCCTCATCCGGAATATCATCCTCCACCACTTCCTCCGCATCCTGTTTCACCAATTCCGGCAATCCTAATCTTCTTCTCCTCTTCCTTTCCTCTTCGGCTTCTCTTTCCTCCCTCTGTTTCCTAGATTCCTCAGCTAGTCTCCTACGTTTTTCTTCTCGCGCTTTAGCAGCTTCCTCTTCTTCATCTTCGCGCTTCCGCTTTTGTGCTAATTTGGCTTCACGTTCTGCTTCAATGGCGCGTTGTTCAGCGAGATATTTGGCCTGTCGTTCCGCTTCAATTTCGGATCGTTTCATGTATTTCTTAGAGGTATCGGCGGAAGATTCGCTCTTTTTGGATATCTCTTTCGACATGAGAGATGCGAAATCCATGATGGCGGTTGTGATGGTTTGCGCCGAAGATGATTGTATTTACGGCAATAGAAATGGTGATTTATGATTATGATAAACGTGTTTTTCGTTTCTCTATCTTGCCAAATCTGATAGATAGATAAATTTGAGCCAGAGATTGAATTTGTTGAGTAAGTACAAGATGTTGTCGTCAAATTACAGAAAGTGTACAAAGCCCAAGGCTGAACATTTTTTGACGAGGCCTCGATTCTGCCTCGAGAACTTCTCACCTCAAAGTTATCCTCCACCAACATCCTTCCTCTAAAAGCATCATAGCTATCCCAGCTCATGATTTAAATATGGCAACCACTACTCTAGCAAAAATCGATCGCAACACTACCGTTCCGTTTCATCTCAAGCTTTTCTACAAAAACGGTTCATTTCCCAGGTAGGCAAACAAATCTCAGCCTTCCCATGATATTTATTTATATCTATTCTAATGTGAAAATAGAATCGAAGAATTTAATCCACATGGTGAATTACCTCTTCACGTTAATATATCAACATGGCAATCATGTACTCTGCGCGAATTATCACATTTACTAGCCACCGCGCTCCCTGATCTTCTTCCTGATCTGGCGATTGGAACTCGTCTTTCATTTCGACTTATATTTCCCGATTCACGACCTGCTGTTAGTGGACCCGCGAGATATGTAACGAAGGAGCTTGGCAGTGTTGTTATTGGGGAAGGAGGGCCAGGTGTTTTACCAGATGAGGAAGAGAGTGCGATAGTTGGAGAAGGAATTATGGCGGGGAGTTTGATGGGGGAACCGGAGAAGACGCTGCAGGATGCGAGATTTGTCATTGGTGATTATGTTTGTTGCGCAATTTTACCACCGATGGCAGATGGAGGGGTTGCACCACCACCTAGTGGTCCTTCGAGAGGCGGTTTTGTGGGTGGAAGATCGGAAATGGGTGGATTTGGGGGAAGAGGGGGGATGGGACCGAGAGAAAATGGATTTGGGGGTGGATACAGAGGGAGGGGGGGTTCAAGAGGAGGAGGATTTGGTCAAGGTACAGGCCAAGGCGGAGCGGGTGGTGTACCAATGGGTGAATGGAGACGAGGAGAGAGGATACCGGATGGTCCATCTGGGGGAAGAGGTCGTGGATATGGAGGTGGAAGAGGTCGATACTGAGGGAGGCACGAAGACATATGATACCAATTACTATGCTATTACCAATGACGGCACCGAATTTCCTTGGAACACTACATGATCTCTTCTCAGACGGAAGCGAATGTTCTACTTTCTCCAATACCATCTCATCTCTTGAAGCATTTTTATCGGAGTATCAGTAACGGATGGGCGGTAATCGGTTCGTCTCTTAGAAACATATTAGGTCAGTCCTGCAAAAGTCATATCAGAAATTACCAAATCCAAGTAAACATCAATACCCGATATCAAACGACCATGCATTGAACGACGATGGTGAAGAATGCAAACTCAATTCCATAGCTTTCTCGTATCCCATAGCCTCTCGTGATATCTCCTTCCACAAATGTACAACTTCCCGCATTCAATCTTTGCCTCATTCTCGTATCCCCCCATCCCCTTCTCCCTCCCTTTCACCCCCATCTAAAATTCCGAAATCGTATCACCCCTGCGCTTTCCTCTCATATCCCATTTTCCCTATCCACACATTAGCCTTCCAATTCTGCGACCTCTAATCTAAAACCTGCACATGGCATCCAAATATCTTACTTCAGTCTTAATAGCCATATACCCAACGATACTCGGAATGACCGCCGCAAAGACAAACGAAATCGCCGCAGTGCGACCCGTCCATCTGAAATACTTGTGACGATTGGTCGACATATCTAGCACCCATTAGTCAACCTTCCTCTCCCCTTTTCCCACCCTCGCAATCTCCTCATCGCCATCCTAAATCGCAAGATCTCCCAGATGCAGAAACAACATACTGCTATATTTGACCAACGCGGGGTCTACCGCGAGTACTATATTCCCATCATTAGTCCAATCCCGCATGCACAGTGCGAATATACAAACCATGATCGTGACCAGCCATTGTGAATAAAGTTGCGAGGATGAGAGAAACACTTGTGTGAATGATTTCTCTTTGCTTCGAGCTTTGGAATTGCTATAATTGAGCCTCGTGTGTAGAGTCGCGGTTGAATGCTCAGACGTCGGAAAAATGTTGCCCGATGATCCGCACGCACGGCTGAGATTTTGATGCGATGATGCACTTGGTTGGTTGATGTGTGGGATTGGGTTGGTGGCACAGGTTGAGGTTATCAATGGGTTATCGATTGTGCCGAGGTGGGCTGAGGGAGAGCTAATCGGTAGTGAGATGAGAGAAACTTGTTTATGGGAGGGGAATCTAGTGATAGTGATGGATTGAGAATGTTTAATTACTTTTCTTTGTATTTTTGTATCTCTCTTGATTTGAATTTTGGGGAATACAGGATATCTTCATATCAATCTCATATCTTTCACAATAACTATCGTATATACTCAAGTAGTCAGTCATGTCTTCACAAGCTCCCACGTCCGATCAGCCAAAAATCAAACTTTACTGGTAGCCGTTCTCCTCTTCTTTTCCCTCCCTCCAATATACATATCTCCTCTCATATCTTTCTCCCCATCCCATCCATCCCATGTCCCCCACCAAACTGACAAACCCAGGCTCAATCAATCCCGCTCTCAGCGTATCCTCTGGCTCCTCGAAGAATTGAAGATACCCTACGAGCTAGAAATCATCCATAGACTTCCCTCCAAACACGCACCTCCTGAATTGAAAAAAGTGCATGCGCTGGGAAAATCTCCCGTCGTTACGATTTTACCTGCGGGAGCTACCGAACCGGTGGTTTTGGCGGAGAGTGCGTTTATTACTGAGTAAGTTTACTTATTTCTTTAGCGGGCAAGGGAGTTGAACGAAGGGATTAAGAGGGGGTGTAAATATGGAATTAGAGTGGAAATAGAGAATGGAGGGGTTCAAGTAGTCCTTGGATTTTGATATGATATATCTAAAACACATGATACTTTTGGATACCATCTCCTTAGCTTCCCAGACGCCAGAAGAATCCATTCTCAGCCTAAATACTAACTCACCCGAAGATATCTCCTTGATCATTTTACCCACGGCAGTACCCTTCTCCCCACCCGCTGGAAGCCCGGCCAGGAAAACACTCTCGGTGGCGAAACCGAAGGATGGACTCGTTTCCGCTACTATATGCATTATGCCGAAGGGTCTCTGATGCCACCCCTCCTTGTCGCTCTCATCATGTCAAGTAAGTTCTTTCCATTCACATTCTCAAATATCACTAACTCCTCAGTGATCAATTCGCCCAATCTTCCATTCTTCATCCGTCCTATTACAGGCATGATAACCTCAAAAGTGCACGATTCATTCCTGGAACCAAATTTCAGCACTCATTTTACCTTTCTTAATGAACAAATCCGGAGCTCTCCCAATAATGGAAAATATCTCTGTGGTGAACATCTGACCGGTGCAGATATTCTCATGTCATTCCCTCTTGTAGCAGCTAAACAGCGTGCTAGATTAACAAAGGAAAAATATCCAGAACTTTTCGCTTATACAGAACGATTAGAAAATGAGGCAGGATATAAGAAAGCTGTTGGAAAGATTGTGGAAATCGAGGGAGAATTTAAGGCGATTTGATTCTGAGGGTGCTTTGGTAATTATCAAGACTGTATGCGAGCGTCTCAAGCTCGAAATGCGAAGTGGGAGAATTGAAGGAATTCTGTATTCCTTGCCCTACATACCTTTCGCTGAGTCTCTTCCGATCTCACTTTTTTGTCATTGTATCGATTATAGATAGATCCCATTTCAGTTCCTTAATACACTTTCATATCTACTAATCTTCCATAATATACCCTTTGGGAAAGACCCAAGGACCAAGGTTCACTGTATCACTCTACCTTAATAATCAGCGTGATAGCTCCGTGTAAATCGTGAGTACTGATATTGATATCTGGTAATACTATACATGGAAGTGATGATACTTTCCAACGATCGGGATGATGCATCGTTAGATTTGTATCGGCCAAGAGTAAACTTCGGGAACTGACGTTGATGGGTTATATAGCATGGAGTGTGATGAGGTCTATAAATGTCTGGGGCTAGAACATCTAATGAAAGGATGTAGTTTGTATTCCCTCCTCGCCACGTTACTCGCCGTCTTGCACCCAGAGAAAGAAGTGGCTCGACAATTTGCTGAAGAGGGGTAATGAGATACCGATAGCTGGTAGATTGAGCACAAGGTTAAACTTGTTGCTTTCACGTCGCAAGTCGATCCACGATACTGAATAGACAGGCATGGAATGATGGAATTTAGTCTTTAACCCTCAAAGTATTCACACAGCATTTTGGCTGCCATCGTTTCAATGACTGTGTGATTGCGGCTGATTGACAAAAGCGCAAGGTTTTTTCGGAGGTGGAGCATCCATGAACGATCCTTGACTTGTCAGTGGAGTCGAGAGAAGATGGAGAGGTGATGGATGCTCAAGACGGAGAATAAAGGAATCAGCGGGGCGAATAATGCTGGGCATGTCTTCATGACTTACAGACACTTGCATGCTGATAGATATGAATATGACCCTGGTGGAGTTAATCTAAATTGAAAGACTTGGGAGCGACATTCTGAATGATTCAACTGAAACCATGACAATGATTTGTTGAGGTGAGAAGGCAAGACATCATCATGCTAGCCTATCACACATCATCTCCAGTTTGGATAAGAAACGATCAAGTTCAGGCTATGTTGAAAAAATAGATCAGGTATTTCGAAAAAACGATACATTGTATATCATTCTACCCAATGTTGCCCAATGTTGAAGTTCTTTTGACAACTGGACGAATGAATATCGTAGGCAGACTCCTCATTTAGAAGATTATTTAGAATGGATCTAGAACAAATGTTCGAGCTAAATGATTTCCTCGCAATGATTTTCCACAGGCAGTAGATACATACAAGTCTGAGCTTCATACTTTCTACTTTTATCTGAATGCATAACAGATAATCGGGTCCAAAGTAAGAAAGACAGCCTGTGCTCAAGCTTCTTGAAAAATCTTCGAGGAAGAAGCGGAGCACATGTAGATATATTTATATTTTCAATCGAACAGGAAGCTGCCACAACTATAGACAACCCTTCGTACATAAATTTATCGATGTGCTATCTGCATTGTACATGAGGTATGCAGTTGGCCGACTACGCATACACATATCTGTGAGTAAGAATGCGTTCGAGAAACAGAAAGAAAACGTCCACTTGGACCCCTCTCGTTCGTTATAAAACGACACGAGGATGAAGATATCCTTTCATATTGGAGAATTCTGGAAGTTTGAATGAGCTAAGTTTCCTTGACATTTTTCTGTGCGTTTTCATGTTCGTAGTGGGTATCCGATACATGAACTAACAGCTGTCGGTGAGCATTGCAGTGCAGTGTGCATAGAACGACTTGAGAATACCTGGCCCTTGTCCATACAATTATGAAGGGTGGTAAAGTTACGCCACTTGGGAATTGACCTGCAGATAAGGCGTTGAAATGCGTGTGAATTGGGCTTGAAATTCAAGACATACATGAATAAATGCATGAACGAATTTGATGAAGGCGTTTAGATGACTCGAGAAAAGACTGTCCATCAAGATGAATTTTATGGCAGATTCAGAACAATGTTCTTCATCTATTGGTATGAAAAACTTATCAGAAGACTGACTATCTTTTTGATCCATGCCTGACATTCTCGTAAAAAAGAAGAAGATAAGTTGATAGACAGTGGGGTAAACAGCATTCATTTGCCCCCCCCCCCCCCCCGAGGCTCCGTATAGGATGGGATTCATGGGAATCTTGGAAAAAGAATGGTACATCGACGCAACAGGGTTCAAATGCGGGTGGTAAAAAATGGATCTGGGAGTTGTGTGTGGTGTGGTGGTATGGCGTCTCCATCTCAACGCATCTTGGTGGAACATTCATCTCCAACCGTCCAACGCAGAGATAGTTCAACGACTAGGTAACCGGCCGAGCCAGCCAGCTATTGAGGATTGAGTATCGAAAATCCATCTGCTCCGTAGAAAGAAGTTCATAAAAGATATCCAAACTAGTCTGATGAAGCAGGCAAAAGAGGGAGTACGTGGCAGCTTGGTGTGGTGTTCGTGATCAAATATTCATACAATGTTACTGTAAATGAAAAAAAAAGTCACTGCCGTCTTATCTTTGACAAATGGCATTCTATACTTTCTCTCATGTTTGGGTTGTTAGGTTTCTTATTAGAGTCGAATGAATGGGGATGAATAGGATGAATAAGATGAATATCATGGAGGGGTAGAGGGGGTCGAGGGAGGGGTATCTCTTTTTGTGAATGTGAGTGAATGTGAATGTCAATTAGAATATGAATATATTTCTTTCCTCTCCCCCCCTCCCAACCTTTCCTTTTCATCTCGTCTTTTCTACATCCCAAGCTACTTCACCGTCTTGCGAATAATTAAGCCGTACGGTATATCCTGTTCATATATTGCTTATTACTTCTTCCCTTCATGCTCCTCCGTACTTGATCCCTCTTACCGCCAGCAAATTCCCTGTCAATTCATTTCCCACCAAACAAAAGTACCCAATCCATCCATCCATTATTCATACATCCATACCATTCATACCTCCCCATCCAAGCAATCGAATCCACATCCACCACCCATTTTTCCCCTCCCCCAGCATTTCCACCATCTTTGGGATGGTTAAGATTGATTTAACCAAATGACCCATCCCATACCGTCATAATCAATCTCCACTAGCCTCTTTCTGGCCTTGACAGCTAGCTTACTTCCATCTATTTAGAATATCCATCGCATATCTCTCCAAAATTATTTCTCCTCCCCCAACTTTTTCCTATATCTACCTATACACACATTAACTCGTCAACTTTGGTGGAAGTTTTGTTTGTGGTAGTTTGTGCGAGTATTCAGGACTTCTTTGTCTCATACATCAAAATACAAGTCCTCTCACATCTAAATAAACAATGGCTTCCCAAGCAGAAGATGTTTATGCAACTGTAAGTTATCACCATAACTCGACAAGAATGGGATGACTTGGACTGACAACTCTGCGATAGCTTCTTTTGACCGACACATACCTGCCAGGTTTGTTTCATCACACTACATCTGTTAGAAACCATTAACTCATCTTGCAATTCAGGTGCTCTTGTATTGGCACATTCTCTACGAGATGCTGGTACCACCAAGAAAATCGCAGTGCTTGTCACGGTAGATTCGGTGACCGCTGAGAGTATGACTGAACTTCAGGTAAGTATTCTACTTTGGGGGAATCTGGAAATCAAACTAACATACAATTCAAGAGAAACTTCGACTTTGTCATTCCTGTCGATCGAGTTGTCAACCAATCCCCAGCCAACCTCGACCTCATGGGCCGCCCTGATCTTCACTCTACTTTCACCAAAATTACATTATGGAAACAAACACAATTCCGAAGAATAGTTTACATGGATGCCGATATGGTTGCTCTTCGTGCACCAGATGAGTTGTTTGCTCTACCAAATCCATTTTCCGCCGCACCAGATATTGGATGGCCAGACATTTTCAACACAGGTCTTATGGTTTTAGATCCAAACATGGGTGACTACTATGCTTTGGAGGCTATGGCAAACAGAGGAATTTCTTTTGATGGAGCTGATCAAGGTTTACTTAACATGCATTTCAAGAATACTTACAATCGTCTAAGCTTTACTTACAATGTCACCCCATCCGCTCATTACCAATATCTTCCAGCATTTCAACATTTCCAATCCAGCATTAGCGCCGCCCACTTTATCGGAACGGACAAGCCATGGAAAGTCGGAAGACAAGCCAGTGTCGGAGCCACTCCTTACCATCAGATGACCGGAAGATGGTGGGCAGTTTATGACAAACATTACAAGCAAACGGTGAGCCTAATAACTTCAAACCGTAGATGAAGCTAATTTCCTTCAGTCGGCGAGCGGAACCTCCAACGGAGCGGCACCCCTTATTGTACAATACCTTGTTTTCGGAGAATTCCAGCCCCAGACCCAGGAGGACCATTCCCAAGGAGCCCAGTGTGAGAAATTTCAACCTTTTAATGCCATTAATGATACTACAGCAGAGGAACCAATCCATGACCATACAGAAACAAACTTGGAAAACGAAGAAGCTTATGATCCCCCAGTACAGGCAAAATTGGACCAATCGCGAAACATCTCATATTCACCATGGGATGCCAGCAAGTGAGTTTCATTGTCATTAAAATGGTAGTGGATTTTCTAATGATCTGTAGAGCACCACCACCACAAAATTCGAGACCAGAAGCCTCAAACCTCCCTGGTAACCATTATGAGATGTCTAACGACGCTACCCCATTCCGCGCACCAAGCCGCTACCCAGACCCTCCCAGTGACATGTACTACGAAGTACCAAAAGCTCCAAAGTGGCAGAGACCAGCACCAATTTTCCCTTGGGAAGCTAACCCACCAGTACCCTCAAGAGTATTCCCCGAAGATGATTATGATGACACAGCAGTACCAGAAACCCCCGTCGCCGGTTCGGTAGTCGCAACCACCGAGGATGAAAGAAGCATGCCTGCTACTCCTACCACACCAACCATGCCGAGTGCCAACGACCCATGGCAAACTTATGCTAGAGGAAATGCGTGGGATGAAGTTCCAGAAATTGAGCGATACATTGGAAACATGTCGAAGAATCGCAAAGGCAACATCCAAGTTCTTCAAGGATACGGCACAGGTATATCACAGATTTCCAGCCCGGGAGGCCGTAGGCGTAGTATGAGGCTCACAGACTTTCCAACAGAGCTTGAACGGCCTAGTTTACCCGTAACCCCCGCACCAGTTAGAACACAGCCAACCTTCTGGGGCGAAGAGAGAGAAGAAGATAGCGCATTACCCCCTGCGGAAGGCGTTCCTGCACAACAAGATTGGGTAAGCCTTTTTGATAAATTCAATGGAACTTTTGATGCCTTCAGAAGTCTTTTCAAAGACCCCAAGAAACTTTTCCTTGGCCCCAGTACCCTGTTTTACGACCTTACACGGCTTTTGAAACTTTTCAATAAGCTATTAGTAGATCTTGGAAGATTCTCACTGACACCCGGACAGGACCCAGCAGCTCAACTTGACATGCTTGCTAGGCGCCAATCAGATGTTCTAGCCAATAAGTTGGAGATTCCAACGCGCGAGATGCCCTCGAGACCACTTCCCTTCGGATCCGAACCCGTTAACCAAGGAGCTATCATTGAGGAACCTTCTTACCATGGACCAGGAGCAGCTTGGGAGAAGGATGATAATTATGCCACGAAAGAGACTCCTTTACTCCCAAGTGAAGCAGAGAAAGATGTTTTGGAGACTTAGAAAAAGGACCAGGCCCCAATGAAAATTTGCACATTTATGTATCCATGTATATTGACGTTTACATGTTTCTCCATTATGCGTTTTTGCCTTTTACTTTGCTATGTTTGACTTCTGATTGAGCATTTGTGGAATTAGCGTAGTGCCAGTGGTATATTTGATTCATGATTGTCTTTTGCCATTTGAGCCTCAATTTGCATTTCCATGTCACTAGAAAGCCCGCGAGTCGCATATATTATCCTTTGATTTTTGTGATATTCTAGGAGCTATTGCCTGGGGGATTTGCTGGGATGAAAGGAGAGAGCTTTAGGGAGGTGGGATGAGGGAATGATGTTTAAAAGTTTGCTTGTGCTTGCGCTTGTGTATAGTGGTGGTTGCAGTTGATGGGATGATATTGATGCACAAAAGTTGAAAAGTTTGATGAGCATATTTATTGATGGATGGCTTGTAAATTGAAATGACTAGCTGAACATGGGGGAGGAGGTTGTAATTATAGCGAAGTTGCAATCATACAGTGGATTATAATGATAAGGGATATTGAAGACTGAGACTGAAGCGAGAATGTGAATGTAGTTGTGAAGGTGAAAGTAAATGTGAATTTGAAAGTGATAAATGTTAATGTCAGGTCTAGACTAGAGTTCTAACATGAGGATTTGAGGATTTGAAGATTTGAGACTTTGATACCTTATATACATAGTACGTATATAGAATACCGTATTTAACATGATCCTGAGCATGCTTACCTACCTATACCATAGGTATTGAAAATGTTGATCTTGTATTGGAGTCTGTGAGGTTGTGGAGGAATGAGAATGAGGATGAGGATGTGATGAGATGAGATGAGATGAGATGGCTATCTGGGTAGTTGGGCAGTGATATGATGTGATATGATGTGATGTGATGTGACGGATGCGGTGTGTTGGATTATGCTAAATGATGATATTGATATGTGGGAATTGGAAATTGGGAGGAGTGAGGAGTAATGTGAACTTGCATTGGCGATGGGATTTGAGATGTGCAATCACAGTCGTCTAAAATAATACTTTGATCATAGCATAGCAATAGATGTATACCTCGACGCAGATTCATTAATCACCTTCATCCAATTCTCATTTTGAAGCAACAATTTGAAAACATATTTTCATTTCCTATCACTTTTGCTTCCTTTTCATCTGATCTCATATCTCATAATTCATTCATCCCTTTCTGTCCTCCATTGATTGATGACATCACCATATCCCCTCGCCCCCCTAAATATCATCTCGCCAATCCCAACCCGATACCGCAATCCCATTCATATTCGCATCCATGCTTCCTCACTCCTAATCCACCAAGATCTTTCCCTCCAAATCCGAGAAATGATTGAAGAAACTTTCAAACAATCGAATTCCATGCTCTACATCAAATGCTCCTCCACATTCTCTAACACTATGCATACTCAACATTGGATTACCCAGATCAAGGGTTCTTGTTCCTAGTGCTGCGCTCAACATAGGTCCAATGGTACTTCCACAACTACTATCATTTCTGACGACGAAGAGTTGGAGTGGCACGCCATTCTTTCCCTCTTTGGAATCTGCGGAAGGTTTGGCCTTGCGGGCAACTTCTTGAAGAAGGACTATACCAGGGGAATTGGTGGCATAGCGTTGGTTTGCGTTGATTTTGATGACTGTTCCTTTGTTCATTTCAGGACGATGGTCTTGTTCATATTTTTGTGCGTAGTTAGGATGGATGGAGTGAGCCATGTCTGCAGAGATGAGGAAAGAAGAGGCGAGGGTTTGTTCGTAGGCTGTTGCAATTTCGACGTCGGACTCACGGTGAACCATGTCATAGGAAGACGATGAGCCGGGGCCGGCAGTGGAAGCGGGGATCACGGAGAGACGTCTGAGGACTGCGGGGAGAAGATTAGAGGCTGCTCCGTGCGCGGATGTACTACCAATTTCTTCGTGGTCGAAACAGGTGATCAATCTGATCGATGATTCATTATCTAAAGCAGCAGAATCTTTCACAGATTCGATGAGTCCTTCAACGCTGCAGTAGGTCATGCCCAAATTGTCCAGTCTGCCCGAATAGATGAGTTCATTGTTCAACCCACCCAAACAAGCTTTTTGTGTATCGTATAAGATCATTTCAAAGTCAACAATATCATCAATACCAACACCTGCATTCTTTGCGATGAGTTCCACAATGTATGGGTGATGACGAGTGGTCATCGCTTGCAATGGTTTGTATTCATCCGAGTCCTTATTCTCTTCTGATGGAGTCGGCCCGTTCTCGCTCGCTCCTGTACGATTCAACTCGGCAGCCACAAGACCGGCAATTGGGAATAATTCGGTCTCTTTATTCGGATCGAAGCTAGTGGCACGATTGAGATGAATGGCCAGAGTAGGAATGCGGAGGATTGGTCGATCGATTTTGACAAGTTTTTGTACAAAGTTTCCATCTCCATCTTTAACCATAGCTCTGCCAGCTATGCTCAGATCTCTATCGAACCACGATGTCCAGATGCCGCCTCCATATGTCTCCACACCCACTTGTATGAATCCAGAAGCTTGTTTCTTAGATACCGGCTTGATGCGTAAGGTAGGAGAATCGGTGTGAGCACCAATCATGGCAATTGGGTTACCGGCCTTCCATTTCTTGCCGATGGCGAAAGCGACAATCGAAGAAGCGTTTCTGGTGAGATAGTACTTTCCTCCGGGTTGTAAACTTGTGGACCAGTTATCTCGCTCCTTAATCTCTGTGAAGCCCGCCTTGGAAAGTCGTTGAATGGCAGAGTGTACTGCATGGTAGGCTAAATGAAATAGTTAGGTACAACTGCAGAGATAAGGTTGCTATGGTATTGGTAGCTTATTGGATTAATTTTACTTACGACCAGGTGAAGCATTGAGGAAATCGAGAAAATCGTGTGCCTTTGCTTCGGCAGTTGATAGATTTCGGTTTGACATTTTGTAAGCGGATGAGATATGAGATCTACGAAATATGGTAAAAGGGTTGGAATTCTTTCCTGGAGAAATAGAAGCGATGGAAAGGAAGAATGATGATGTTGATGGTGTTTTCAACATTACCTAACCTTATCTGGGCACTTTCTTTTGAATTCACTTCACCTGCAAAGAGAAAGGTTCACATTGGAGGTGTTGACTTGTGGTTGCACCGACCAGCCTCGCACGGTTAGAACTCCAATCTACCGAGTGTGTGTTTATCAAATAGGGAGGCGTGGTAGGCACTTCAAAAGCTCTGGGCAAGTGAGGTAAACCTATAAACCTAGGTAGGTAGGTAGGTACTTTCTTATCTAACAAGTAGGTAAACCAAGGTTGGAAAGTGTGGGAGGTAGGCAGCCACATTGTGGCTGGTGGAGGTCGAGTGGCTGTCCACGGCTAGAATACGAAGAGAGTTGAAAGAACGGCTGCTTATTAATAACGTAGGTACTTGGATTGCAAAAGCCTCAGGAAAGCTTCAGAAGAAAAAAGCAAGGTGAGGCAACAGTGTACGATGTACAATGTAACAAAAACAACCTTGAATTAATGGAATGAAACCTCGTGGTCAAATGAAATCGGAGACAACGAACAAGGTAAATCCTTGTGATGAATCCTTGAATGGCGGCTTCTGTTTTACTTCAGAATTCCGTCCCCAGTTACAAAGTACACATCAGATCTGCTCTGCTGTGACACTTATTATTCACATTGGTTAGCAGAGGATGAATTCGTGTTTGCTAACGATTGAGAGAGTCCGAGAGAGTCCGTGTGTATATGTGAGTATATGTGAGTAACTAGATGTTGGGTAGCTAGGTAGAGGTTGGTAGTCAGTAGCTAGTAGTCAGTCATATGAGTACCTCGTCATTTGGTAGATAGTCATTTGAACTGTTTGATCAATACTCCTCCGTCCACAATTATTTATATGAGAAAGTATTCGATGCCTAGATAGATACGATTCAATGGATGAAGAAGTAAAGGAAGATAACTTGGTCATACCTACCTAGGTACTGTCTGGCATGAAAAGCATCTGATGTTGAAATATCGAAAGAGAGAAACGGGACGATGGGGAAAGAATAATACTTTACTTAGATTCTTCACAATAAAGAGAAACTAATTTTCCCCTGTTCCTGCAGACATCGAAGAGATGTAAAGATTCTTATTCGATGGCAGATGTCTGGATTCTAGATATCACACCAAAAGGTTAATGTTTCCCCCGGCATTGCTTGCCGCTAAAGAAGCGCCATGAATGCAGCCATCTCGACATTGTTTTACCTTGAGCATTTCACATTGGATGGAGAAGAAATAAAGTTCCGTTGGAATGAAGTGGAGGAGGGAGGTAGGTAGGAGGTATGTTATCCTTTCCATCTTGTAATGAATCAATCAATTCAATCGATCAATCGATCAATCGAGGATGAGAAGATATTTTACTCGAGAGGGGAATGAAAGTTTCCCTTTCCCCCAAAGAGAATATATTGCCTGGGCAAATCCAAATCCATCAGAAAGTCGTGACATAGATTGATTGGATGAGATGAGACGAATTGGGATGTAATGGGTGGTACAATTTGCATTGCCTTGCTAGGTTTTCTGGCGATCATCATTCCCCTCCCCAGCTCAGCCCATGTCAATGCTTCCCATCTACTTTATACATTTACGAGAGAACGACGGAAAAGCGGTTTGAAGGATTGCATGTTTTGGATGGGATGGGGTGGGAAAATGCATCAGCTGAGGAAGAGGGATGTTATTATGACTTCTTTTGATTTACCTTAGCGAAGAAGATCTCTGTACGAATACTTCTTGATATGTACTCGTATATCTACCTAGTAATGTATATCGCCTCCCTCTTGTCAAGCCAGCAAGGGAAATCTCCCTTCTTCCAAGGTTTCCTAATTGGAAACCCATCGATTCAGTCCATAGTGATTAGCGTAACCTTAACCTTATGAATCAGATCAATCAATGAATTAATTGGTATTCCCCTCATGTGTTCCATCTGTGCTGTGTCCAAATGTCCAAATGTCCATAATGAAACCATAAACCACTTGAACCCCAAAGGAGAAATGGGTATTTTCCCTTCCTCCACATCTCCCTTCTCCATCCCCAAGAATTTACTTTACCCACCCACCCCATCTGCAGTCAGTCACCGACAATCATTAAATCTCTCTTCTTCTACCTTTTAATTCTTTTTGCTGTCACCGTCAGGCAGCCTCAATTTCCAACATCCAATTGCATGACCCCATGACTACACGGATCAATGAAGGTTGAATACTCTGCGTGCCATCCATCCCAAGAAACCATTGGTAAACTCTTACCGGATTGGGATTCCAAGTACCCAACTAGGGCTGAGTGGTTTTCAGCGGCCTCTTGAGAGATAATGCATGTTACTTGATTGACATAACATACCTATCATGGTTTGTTGGTGAAGATTGCACAAGAGAGATAGATTATGACTAAATCCTTGAGTAAATTTGTAACTTGCCTATGACTTCTCACCTAGGTATGATTTGGAAGAGAACGACATATATGAAAGAAGGTGATGGGTGATTGTTGCGATTGCGAGTGAAGAAAAGACGCATGAAGACTCAAGAGGTGAAGGAGATACCTACCGCTACTATCTACATCTCAATGACAGCCAACTAATAAACTGGGGGTCTTGCTTGACTGTTCCCATCCAGATTAGAATCGACATCTCCTCAATCCATCTAGCTACCGACACCGATGACTAGGTACCTAGATTACGAAGTTAATTATCCCGACACATAGCATATTTATAAGTTATCATACCTAGCCTAGGTTTGTGGGTAGCACTCGAATTCTAATTTGGACATCTACTCGAACCTTACCTAGGTAGGTAGTTGAATATTATCAACAAGCAGCCTTGATGAATCTAGGTACTTCATATTTGGGTAAGTAATGAGCAACTCCAGAGATTTCCACACTCTGTACATACAGCCAAGTATCTATTCCTCAGTCTCTTATAGTCTTCCTAATCCATGTAGGGACGCACATCATTTCAATCGAGTATAGTAAGCACCTTGGTAATTAATGGACTCTGAAATACGATTTTAACGATTCATAATCTGTCGATATCACGATCTCATCGATTCATTTTGGGGGGTAGTGGATCAATGATCAATCACATGTAGATGTACGAGTAGGTATGTAGTAGACATGGGCGAGCAGTTACGTGAGTAGGTAGGTACTGGTAGGAAGACTGGGAGGAGGTACACATCTGATGTTGGAGGATTCATCATTGGATTCTTTCCCGAATAACAATGGGCGCTTAACGGTCTCTGTTCTCCAGATGACTCAAAATGATACGAATCAAACCCTATGGATATATGTGATACAATCGAAGTCTACTCGGTAGGCAGTTTACCTGAGTACCTACTTGATGCTTGGATATATCATGATATCGTCCCTAGATATTGTGTTGTTTGGTATGCCGACAGCCACTTTTCAAACAACAATAACAATACCATTTTCCCAAATTAAACAAATTCAAATCCATTCTCTTGTGTACATTATTACTCTTTCTGCACCGTACAGTAGCCTCGGTATTCCTCTGTTTGAAAGGTTGAAAGCTTGAATGATGGACTATTACTGAATTGGTTGTGACTATACACCAGCTAAACCTACTTGATAAATAGATCGATCATTCTGTGCTCCACTTTGGTGGAATATCAATACCGACCGATAGATAGATCTCATCCCTCCCTCGCACCTTTTTACCTTTGTAACGGTACTAGTCCTTGGTCTTCTCTTGGTCTCTCTTCTTCTTCCTCTTTTCGACTCGACTCCCTCTCTGACCTAAGGCACTCCCCTTTGATCTAATCGTACACTTAAACGTATATCGTCACTCTCATTCTATAATTCTCATAATCATCAATACTATACTGTAAATTCGTTTTCAAAATATACCCGTTTGGGGAATTACTTGAAGGAATACTACCGATGAAAAGAGTTCCATCTTCTTTGGCACACTGTACATTTAAAATATGCACACCCACACCCATACACACACATCTTAAGCAACCCTACTAAAAGTGACTAGTATATCAAGCATATCAAGCATATCAAGCATTAAATTGACACTAAAAAATTATAACCCTGCACCATCGAATTTAGCGTAGTCATTTCCAGCCCAGCTTCGGTATCACTTCTTTGCCCTTGCTATTTCACTTACATTTTACCTCCGCCCACAACTTTGAACTCGTCCATCCCATCCCATCCCATCCCATCATACATACATACACATACATCCTAAACAACTTCTTCACAAAACAATACACGCGGACAACTCTCAACATACATGGACTGAGAGCAAAATATGTCCAATTAATTTTTATACTTCTTTTATCCGAAAGGAAGTTCCAAAACGAGAGGGATATTCAAATACATACACAATAATCCATTATCGCATCATCATTCATATACTACCTGCCTACCCTACCCTACCCTACTTGATAGTATTTGATTCACTCCAAACGCTACTCACCTAGGTATCGAATGAATAGTCAGCTAGTCGATTTATTAATCAAATCAATTCATTGATTCACCGAATGTGCTGGCTTTCTAGAGCACCTAAACGCAGTCAACCTCGAGAAAATTAATTCCTCCTCCCTCGAACCTTTTTTACTTTACTCAACACACACACATACACATCTACCTCGTTACAGCCTCATCCTTCGACGTCCAAAGTACTTGTGATTCCTTCTTGATCTTTCCGCCGTTCCCCATTCGATATCTAATATTCGATTCTTGTACACTTCAGAGTGCGTCGCAAACGAAGGCACTATTTCCAATAAGGACTTTTCATGGGACACAAGGTCTAGCTCTATTCGAATGTAACTGTGGCAGCCTGCAGCCATTTTACGGCTCGCCGCCTATTGTCAGCAATCTATAGGACTTTTAACTTCCCCCGCCTGGTGCCAAAAGCAACAACAGGTTCAATTTCACAACCTTCTTCAACCAGTATCGTGTACTCTCCACCATACTTGGGCTATACACGCGCTATATTTATTCCGCCCTTCGATCTTGGGTTGGCGGTCTGATTCAAATTCCAAGTCGGTCCTCCTCTAAGTAGGAGAGTGGCCTTGCCACACCGAATCCCAAGATGGCCTCAAATTTTCCACAAATGGGTGGTGCAGGCCAGATGATGCCACAGCAACAACAACAGCAGCAGCAGCAACATCAGCAGCAGCAGCAGCAGCAGCAACAACAACAACAACAACAACAACAGGCTCATATGCAAATGCATCCAAATCGACAACCCCAGCAATTAAATCATATTATCTTTCAGAAAATTCAGCAACAAGGACCACCACCATCAGGATGGCAACAAATAGTGTCGAGTCAAGAACGTATGGCAGTCGTATTCAATATGTAAGTTGTTTTCACTTCTCGAAATTTCAGCCTCGGTGATTTGTGTATCAGAACGACCTTCAAACATGCGTTATAGACAGTACGTGAATCTTGGACAATTGATACTAACTTCTATGCAGAATTGGTGCTTTACGACTTCTTTCTCAAGGTCAAAACACACCTCAGCACATGTTTAAGCTTCTCGACATTGCCCTTGGCTTCGAGAAAGAAGCATTTCTGAGCTCACCCGATAAAGTACTAATTCATGTCAACGATTGAAGGCTCACAGCTAACGAATTTAGGTTTCCTACAAAAATAAAATGGCCGAGAAGCAGCGTGATTTACAGCAAGCTCGAATGCAATCCCAGCAAACTATGCAACAACAAGTTAACTCACAAGCCCAAGCCCAAGCCCAAGCTCAAGCTCAAGCTCAAGCACAGCAGCAGCAACAGCAGCAGATGATGATGAATCAAAATGGCATGCAAGGCCAAATTCCGAGAAACATTCCTCAGCAACCTCCCCAACAAGGCTTTCAACATCTTCAACACCAGATGCAAGCGTCGCCTCTACCCCCCCAGCAACCTCAGCCCATGCAAAATGGCCTGCCAAACGATACCATCCCACAGAATATGCCTCAGAATCCACAGTTGCAAGCAAATGGCATGCCAAATCAAATTCAGCACGGAGCTGGCAGACCCATGAATGGCCAGCCACAATTACAACCGACACCGACGCCAAACGAGATGCAGGAAATGAATCGAGAAGCCATCAGAATGTGCAGCGAAGCATCGGAAAACGATAAGATTAACATCCGGAACACCTTGAGGGCAAAAATGACTCCACAGCAACTCCAATCGCAGGAACAGAGTGGAGCAGACATCGCGTTTCTATGGTATCGCCAGCAACTTATGAATAGATGGCGTCATCGTCACTTGCCGATAGGGCAAGGACAACACCCTACACTTCCACAGCACCCACAAAATGGTTCTGCAACGGCTCCAGCCATGCAGCAACAGCGATCCATGAACCCAAGTCCAATGAATGGTCAATCGCAACCCCCTACAACCATGGGCGGGGGTCCAGACTATAATTCTTTCTTGGGCAACATGGAAAACTTAATCGGCCAACAGCAGCAAGCAGGGGTCTTGGCTCAGGAAGCAGGTCAAGTTGTTGTACCTGTCAGTGCGCCAAGGAACAACACTCCTCAACCTAATGTTACAATGCCAGGCCAAGCGATCAACATGAGCGAACAACGTTCGGCTGCAAATCCCATGGCGAGAACGCAGGCCCAACAAGTCCAAATGTTTAATGCTCAACAGTCACAGAGGTTTCAGCAGGCACAGCAGGCACAGCAGGCACAAGCTCGTGCAAATGCGGCCGCTAAGGCACAGATGGGACTGCAATGTCAACCTGGGGGAATGGGTCCGGGAAACATGCAATCACAACAGAGCCCTGCCATGAATACGCTCAACGCTCCTATGAGAACGCCATCTCAGCAGATGGGCCACCCCGAGGCCGGTGGAATGATGCACAATGCACCATTTGGCCAGTCACTGGACCCACGCTTCGCGAATCAAAGGATGTTTGGTAATTCCATGAATCAATTCAACCCCGCAATGTTGCGAGATATGGGCCCAGAACAACGCCAACACTTCTCAAACTTGCCGCCTGACAAGATGAGCGAATTTGCGAAAAATTGGCAGGCTCGGCAGCAGCAGAATCCAATGCAACAGGCACCACAAATGGCGATCCAAGGAAATAACAATCCACTCCGTCAAGGACAACCTGGACCACCGTCTGCACAACTCTTGCAACAGCAACATGCACTAAGTCAATTCATGATGACACACCCTGGACAGCGACCCCCTGCGTCATTGTTGAACAATTTGACTGCGCAACAACAGCAGCTGATCGTACAACAACAAATGGCTCAGAATGCAGCAATGCAGCCCCGGCCTGGAAACATAACTACAGATCATGGCAGACTGGTGCAACAGATGGACAATATGGATATCCCTGCACAATTCCTCGCTAACAATCAAATGTTGCAAGGAATTCCTCCAGAGGTGAAGAAGTGGGGTCAACTGAAACAATGGGTTAGCTCGACTCCCACAATGCCACCACAGGCACTTGACTCCGTGAAGAACGCACAAAAGATGCACCTAATGCAGCTTGGTCAAGCGAGACGAGCCGCTCAACAGCAGCTCAACCCAATGGCCACGCAGACTCCAGCCGCAGGTCAGAACGCAATGCCCATGGCACCTCAAAGAATGTCGGCTCCTGTTGCCCAAATGGGCCAGAATCCTACTCAAATGCCTATGGGAATGAATATGGGTCCTGGACCAATGCGACAGTTCACACCCCAGGATATTGCGAACCTTCGCAATCACCCAAGTGGTAAACTTCTTGCCGCCACTGATGACCAACTCCGACATATCCTGATGCAAAATCATATGCAACGTCGTCAAATGGCAGCAAGTATGGCGCAGACGAATGGTCAACAGATTCCACCAAACGCGATGCAGGGACTGCCGAACTCCGCTCAAATGACGACTCCACAGCAACCATCTGGACAAATGCCACAACAGAAGCCAGCAACTTCGGCTCCAGAACCTGCAGGTACACCCATTCCTACACCTGCTAATCGCCCCCGGCCTGCACCAAACAACAAGCCAGCAGCCGCACAGAACTCGTCACCTGCTCAACCCTCCAAGAATAATCTGAAACGAGCTAGTAGCGATGATGTTGTAGAAGTGCCAAATCCCAATGGACAACAGGGCCCAGCGCCAGTGCCACAGCAGAGAAATATGACCAGGCTCACACCAGAACAGATAGCCAAACTCGATCCAGAGCAAAAGAAAGCCTATGAGGCTACTCTACGCAGAATGTTCAACGCAAGGCAGCAGCCACCAAGCAACCCTGAGGTGGAAATGATTACCAGGAAATTTAAAGAATTTGCTGCCGAAGAAGAAAAGGCTTACAACGATAACCCACCCGGTGAAATTTTTATGGATGAGGAGTCGAAGCAAAGCATGCGCAAGGCCTTGGAACCTATGCCTGCTCATCTTAACAACGTCTCAAAGGCAATGTTAAGGTGGTACCAACAGACTCGTGATGATTCTCGAGCTAAATTATTTTTCCGTGCTGTAAGTTTTGAACCCGGCTGATCCACATGTTAATGAATGACGCTAACCTCTTTCAGCGATGTCGTTTAACGAAGCAATTCAAAGACCCCGCTACTATGAGGGAGCTCAAAGATACTTTTTCGATGAGGCCCGCCGATGTGGAGCAAGCTAAAACGTTTCTCAATACAATGGTAATGGATATCGTCAATAAAAATCCAATGTTTAAGAAGAATGGTGGATCGTCAGATCCTCAAGGTACATCAGCTAATCCATCTGGTGTATCAACGGGTCAAACTTCGGAGGCAGGCGTGCCTCTTAATGCTGCTAATTTACAACAACAGCAGCAGCAGTTGCTCAAGATGAACCACCAAAGGTCGAATAGCCGCGGCTCACAACCCCCAGCAGCCCCCACGTCAGCCCAGCCACCGTTTCCATTTGGAGCTTCGTCTCCTCATGGTCAGCCTACATACCCTGGGAAGCCTCCTGCTTTCACTCCGGAAAAACTCCACATTCCAGCGCGTAAGAAGCAGAAGCCAAACGGAACACCAGGCCAAGGTCAAGGTACTCCGGGATCGACATCCTCGCCCCAGATCACCAAAGTTCCCTCACCAGAGGTCAAGCGTCAACAAATTCCAGAGCCGAAAATCCCGACCAAGCCAACCTGGCCATGTAATGACGAGGTTTGTGAACGCCAAAATACTGGATTCGAAAGTCAAGAGGAGCTTGCTCGTCATACTCAAGTGGAGCATAGGCTACCGATGCAAAACCCACAGAAGTTTGCTGAGGATCACCTCCGACCAGTTCTAGGTCTGGATTCCCAAAACCAATCAAATACAGCAATGGCGACTACGGATGCAGCTACACCATTCAAGCAAGGTCAGACACCGAAGGTTGAGACTCCCACTCCATCTGCTTCAGCTGCTACACCTATGAATCGTCAGAATTCAACGAATTTACAGGGTGGCATGATGCAAGGTAAAGTCAAGCACCAGTCTGGTTTGGTTACAGATACAGCCAAGTCCCAGAAAGGCACGAACAAGGATGAAGCGAATGCACCAGCTCAAGAAGTCAACTCAGATCCTTGGGCGAATGCTACAATCGATCCTAATGAGCTTGTCCGCGCTTTCCAACCATTCGAAGGTGGCGCTGGCGGGGCCATCTCCGATGTGAATAATTATCGGTCCATCACACCAAATGATACTCCGGAATCGAGTAAGGACGGTGTATCGGAGCCCACTAGTGATATCTCTGAAGGGGTCAACTTGGACATTGCCTTGGATATGTTTGATGAGCCATGGTTTCCGTTTGGACTCGGTGATACTGATGCTCTTGTGGAAAACCATACTAACACCTATGACGCAAATTTTGATGATGGCTTGACCATGTTTGATGATATGGAGTTTGCCAACGCTCCACAAACATGGGATGATATGGATGGCAAAGTAAATTTTAATGAACCCTTTCAATTCAACATAGATGAGCATTATTCGATGGATATCTAGTTGAGTGAATAGGGTTGTATCACGGTTTTTGGAGGGCGTTTTTCTGGTGGGAAGGGTTTACAGGATATTTTGGAAAATCAATGAGATGATATACCAATGAAAAGCACGGCGTCTTAGGATAAGACTACTAGGAGGGAAGGATAGGATATTCACCTAGTACTTTTGTTTTTAGCAGGGCGTTCAGTGGGGGCGAAGAATGTTCCTTCACTGGAATAAGCTTTTGGTTATTATTACATATCATGATTATAATGGGCCTTCTTGCACAAATATATATTATTATTGCCCGGTCTATCTTCTCGGTTGAGAGAATGGGGGCAACGGAATCGGGAGCATGAGTTAGGTACATTTGTTTTAAATCCGATTTGGATTATACATGCTGTAATTAATTTTGATTGCAGTTTAAGCGACTAAAAGAATTGATTTTTATATATATTTGAATGTTTATATATGTGTGTGTGTGTGTGTCTGTTTCGTTTTCATTGACACAACCTAATTTTAAAATGCAGTATAGATCTTTTCCAATCATGCTTTGTACTTTTCATTGAAGCGTCAAGGTTCTGATTTAGATCCCTGCAAGACCCTGATCTTCAAGGCACGATGTGCATTTGCAATGGGTGGCCAGGTCCAGGTAGTTTTTTTAAGGTTGACGGGCCGCAATCGCTTTAGGGGTCAGAGCCTCAAAGGGTGGAAGGGTGGAAGGGTTGAAATTTAAAAGGGATCCCAGCTTGATATGGTTGGTTATTGCGTGGCGCCTTGTTAAAGACCCTGTTATGCCTGGCCTGTGAGATGACATTTTGGATGGGTTAGTGTGTGTGTGTATGTGTGTATGTGTGTGTGAATAACCCCCGTCTACCCTGTAGAGATGAGATGAGACTAGCACGTGATGAATCGCTCATGCTCGCATGGTACAGTATGTGACTCTGTGAGAGTTCGGCTAGCCCCTCATTTTTTAAATGAAGGCGGTCGGTCTATCAGAAAGTGGCAGAATTATCATAAAAGTTGGCCAAGAATCGCGTCTTGAGAGATGAGAGATCCCACATTATATCAATAGACGCGATTCGAAAGTCTGATGAGAAAGAATGATTGAATATTTACTTGTATTTGTTCTTGAGTCTCAGCTGAATTTATACATCTGAAGTTATATTTCCTTCATAATCAATTCTTCTCGAGATTTGAGAAAAAGGTTTTATTTGTAAGTTAGTGGAGTGAACGCTGCTAAAAGTATGGCTGGGAGGTGTGGTAAATCGTGGATTAATAGATGTATTCAGGAAACTACAAACAACCACCAACGCGCTTTCCAAAATCCAAACTTTTATAGTTCACTATTCAGTCGATTGTTTACTTTACTTTGAAGTCATTCCCTTCACTTTTCACAATGACTTCACCAAAATCATCAACTACGCGTCGCGTCTTGGGGGATCTCAATATCAATACTTCTGTCACTGATAGCAATCATGAAGCCCTGGGATGGCTATGGCGAGATAAAAAGATTCAGAAAGTATTTTCTAGTAACCAGCGGACCTGCCCCGGAAACGTTCCACTTGACCCCTCGCAAGTGGTGGGAAATTCGACAACGAAATTACAGCGGGAAAATTGGGAGGAGACGAACACGAGTACGGGTTCCCGAGTTGCAAATATGGAAGGGGCAACGAATCAAGATAACGTTTATCAAGGCTTGGAGGCTACCACAATCAACGGCGTTGACATTTCAATTGCTGAGCGGGCCTCCTTGGTTAGCTCCAAGAGACGCTTGTCATGTCCTGTACAATCACAAGACGTTGTATCGAGCCGACCGGGAGAATCCCGTGCGAAGCGCCGCAGAATTGCACCATCATCGGGAAACTCTTCGCTGCTTGAAGAGTCTGGCGCAGGTGTGGGTTTGTTCCCGCAATCTACGTCGTTGCAACCCACATCGTCACCAGCCAGAGACCCAGGTCCGGAGGCGAAAGCGTGTGACGAGAGAGTTGGAATAACAGATGAGTCGAGTGATTTGGGGAGTGGCCAAGAACAAGAAGTATGTACTTGTTACCCGTTCTGGCAAATTTAGTTTACTAATATACATCTATAGATGTCACCAAGGACACTTCATAAACAGTTTTCCCCAAAACGCTCTTCCATATCTGCTTCTTCGTCATCATCTTTCCATTCCGTAGTAAACGCAGAAGACGCAGTTATCATCTGCAATAATTCCCAATCTACCGAAAGTATCATATCCAACAAATCATCTTTCACACCTACAACTATACCCACTGCTATACCCACTGCTATATCCACTCCAAGAACTTTCCGAACCTCTAAATCAAAATCTCTATCACGAGTAGAAATCCGTCAAGTTTGTTCCCTTTCCCTCTTGTGATTTATAAATAAAAAAGCTAACTCCACCTCTCTAGAAATCCCAAGCGCTACGTCTCCGTCTTTCCCTCGCCAACTATAAAGTAAAAACAAATCAAATCGATCTCCCTCTTTCACGTCTACAAGTGCGTTCTACATCACCAAAACTTCCTTCGCTTGCTCGTCTTCGCAGATATTCTTATGAGAAGAGCATGGGACGAACACCACTTCCTGGTGCGCCTAGTATGGACACTGGAAGAGAAGCAGTTCCATTTATTAAGATACAAGCTCCTGGTTCTGCAAATAAGAATGCAAGTGTATTTGTCCGAGAGAAACGAGCGGAGAGAGAGAATGGTGGTGAAAATATCAATATTCCTTCTAGTCCTCCTTTGCCCGCAAGAGAATTGGATTCATTATCGAGAAGAGATTCTGCTATTTCGTGCACTTCTTTTGGCTCCAACTCTCATTCGAATTCTGGTTCGAGCTCGGGCTTAGGCTCGGGTCATGCACATCCTCTTACTCCCATTCACAATACCACTTCCAAATTTAATTCCAAATCAAAAGAAAGTAACACAAAAATGATAATCAACATCGAGCAAGAAGTCGCAAGAAGGAAATACGAAATGATAGGTGGTAAGGAAAATATCAAAATGCAAAGAACCCCAATTTTGGAGAGACAAAAAATAGGACTTGCAAATCCACCGATGATTTTTGCGCAGCCGGAAGAGGAGAGGAATGCGTGTGAAAGGGAAAGAAGTCCGGAGTCATCGAGGAGAGCAGCGGATGGATTGGTGAGGTTGAAATTATTGAGATAGGGATGTTTGGGTTGTGCGATGGGGAGAGGCGAGCGAACGTGTTTACATGGGTGCAGGTTTGAGTGTGTGTTTCTTTTTCTTTCTTTCGGATTGGGCTGGGTTAGGTCGGGTAAGATAAACTTATGCATATGCAGATGCAGATGCAAACGCGTGTGGGGATGGGCACAAGGATTACATGGGCGTGAATGTGTAGCATCAATAGCAGTAGCGATTACAGCAATAAATAGCATTAAAGTAGGGTAGATGGGGTATATTATACTTGTATTTACATTTTCCTTTGTATGATTATAATACGATACAGGTGTACCTAGTACGTGATGGTAGGGTATGGCACTGAATAAATTTGATTCAACTAGATTGAATGGGAGGGTGGGTAGAAATTCAGCGAGCAATCAAATCAGTAGAAATTCTTTCGGTTATGGAAAGGGGTTATTTGTTGTAGGGGAGAGTGTATGTAGTGTAATATAGTATAATAAAAAATAGAAACAAAACCAGAATGAAATGGAATGGAAATGAATGAGACCGTTACAGAATATATGATTGATTAAAATAAAAGTGTCAAAGTTTGTGATTGAACAACGGATTGATTTATTGATTTGTTGATTGATCAGGTTGAAGTTTGTTTGTCGAAGATGTGAATAGGGGGGTGTGGCTAGGTGAGATGGCATACATATATGTATGTATTTATGTATGTATACACGAATTGATTGTACCTACTTTCTCTCTTTCCATGGGTGAAAAAGGAAATATAGGGATACACTACTATACGTGCGACTAAGCGACTCAGTAACTAACTAACTGTCAATAGACAATTCATCAAGCAAGCGAGGGGTAAAAGTCATGATGATATTGTAATTTGATTATTATGATCACATGTAACATGAATCATTCATTGTGTTTATTCATATTTGTATTCCTTCATAAGGTGGGTAGGTATCTATCTCTTGACTACCTCTCTTTTCTCCTCCAAGTCTGTTTTCGGTAGGAATGCAATGCAATACAGTACAGTACAACGCAATGTATAGTCCAGCTATAACGACATCGTAGAGACGTATGCAGCGCTTGCTATCTCTGATCCTTTTTTTCCCGTTTTATCCCTCACTAGATGAGGAAATCCTGCTCTGAATTTTCATTACTACCCCATTGCACTCCAAAAATTGTTCGACCCAGCGAAGAGAGCGCGCGTTTTTTGTGATTCGTTGTATTTAGCCACCGGATAGCTCTTTGCAATGTAAAATATCTCGACATTTTCAGGTTTGTATCTTCGACCTATCACAAGCCCGATGACTAAGCCAAGGTCGAAGGACTAGACCCTCATCAGATGACATCTATCAATCAATCAAACTCCTCATCTCTGCCTGATCTCGTGACCATTCTTGTGAGCCCCCAGGAATCTGCGATTCATCTCCACCAATCCAAAATCGTCCTCCCTCCAATACCTGTCTTTGAAAGTCCCAATCCAGATCTATTTCAGCAGCTACATCTGCGTTATCCCATCCGTTGATAGAGGGTGCTACGAAGGCTGCTGCTGATCCCGATGCTGATGCTTCAAGATTGAAGTTGGGCGTATGTAATGCCGGATCGATCAAATCCATTCCCATATCCAGAGCGCCCATATCCATCCCCGTACCATCATTCATGAAATCTAGACTTGGCAATTCTCCTCCATTATCTGTATAAGGGAAATGATCCATCATGCTCATATCGATATTTAGATTCATATCATTCTGACCGTCCATAAAACCGACATCCTGATGGTGAATTCTCATATGCTCATGAAAATCATAATCTCTCATGAATTTATGAGGACATCCCTGAACTACACAATCGATTGTTCTTCTGGCATCATAACCTGCTAATTCCTCAATCTCGGTTTGCTCGGGTGCCCTTCTCGCAGAACGTCTAGTTTGTGAATCAGTCTTTCGTCTACCCCTAGCATTCAAAACACTGGGTAAGCCGAGATGATGTGTTCGAACATGATCTTCAAGATTGACTTTCGAGACGAAATCTTTACCGCACGAATCGCTTCCATTCCAAGATGCGAGGTCGGGAGTTTGGGAAACATCAAATGTTCCGCAAATAAAACGCTGTCCATCATGTACAGTCCGCATGTGAACTTGTAGATTCGCTCTCTTGGTAAATGTCTTCGGGCAGCCTGGATATTCGCAAGGTATATTCTTACGTTCTTCAAGTGTAGTGCCCGAGTGTTGAGTTTCGATATGTTTTTGGAGCAATTGTTGACTAGAACATTTTCGATCACAGAACATACAAGTTGCATGTTCTTTCTTGATGTGTGCTTGTAATTTGGCATTCGTTGTGAAAGCCAACGGTACGGGTGTACCATCTTCATGGAATTTTCCTGGTACTGTACAGTCTTCGCATAGAAATGTAGCTGCTCCATGAGTTCTTTCCATATGCTTTTTGAGTCCACCTGAAGCATCAAATCCTGCTTTGCAAAGTTCATTCGTAATCGGATCGATATATGTGCATGGGAATGGAGCTAAATCGAGATGGTCGGAACGGATATGGCGTTGGAGTGTTTGATGTTTTCGAAACGTCTGATTGCAGGGAGGATATGATGTACATCTGAACCTTTCATGGCCTTCGTGAGCATCCTTGTGTCTTCTTAACCTCGTGGCCGTCAAGAAGCTTTTACTACACCCTTCCCAATCACACGTATATTCTCGTTCGTGAGTGTGAGATCCCTTGATATGTTGCTTCAAATGTTTTTCCTCGATATATGCCTTATCACACCCTTCGTATGAGCATATGAATGGTCTTTCATTTGCATGTGATCGTAGATGTGCTGCCAATCTTGCAGGTCGGTTAAATGTTTTTGTACATCCTTCGTAAGTACATTTGATCGTCTTATACTCAGAAGGGAATTTTTTGCCAGGTACAGGTGAAAATGGTGTATTCGGTGTATCTGCTGCTTCCATAGTATCTTCCTCCTCCTCAGAAATCAGATCTTGTTCCGGCTTGTATTCATTATCATTATCACCATCGAGTACGTCTGCCACATAGTGATCGTCAATCTCGAATTCCCAAATCGAATTGTAGACCAGGAACTATTTGCACTAACCTGGCAGAGAACTCGGGACATCAATTCGTAACCTTTTCGTAGAAAGCTCTAGAGAATCATCTCCTATTCTCTTTCTAGTATTTGTCGCCATTGCTGATTTCGGACGTTGTTGAATTGGCTTCAAAAATCCTCAATTCAAACGGCATCCATTACCTTATCCGAAATATTTCATAAAATTATTGTGGCTATCGCAAAGGTTCGAAATCTTGGCACACTAATGACTGAAAATGCGCTAAACCCAAACCTTAAATTATGTGGAGCTCGAATAATCGAGGCGCAAAGAAATCAGCCGCGCCAAATTTATTTTTGAGATTCTTCATCCATCACCGATTTATTAAATCTCCCGTCAACAAAGAAAACTCTCAACAACACCCTCATCAATTATCACACATCAAAATGTCTGACGACGAAGAGAACTACGATGGCGGGTGAGTTACCTTCTGCCTACATAGAACATACTCAGACTGTCCATTCGCAAAGCTTTCCTCCAAACCATAACTAACGCATCACCCCCAGTTTCTCCCCAGCCTACGATGAAGCCGAAGAGCCCGAGTATGATCCCGAGGGAATGGAAGACATGAACAATGTTTCCACCGGCGAGGTAGACGATGTCGCCGTATCGACCCAAAATCCCGATCAGCTCCTCACTACCGGCGAGCGTGGCGTCGTCACATCGGGAGATGTGCATGCTGCCAATCGAGCCAAAAGCAACATTGCACCCAAGGACAAGAAAATTCCAAAGGAGCAAAGAACTACCACACCCTACATGACCAAATACGAGCGTGCGCGTATCCTAGGCACTAGAGCCTTGCAAATCAGTATGAATGCGCCGATTTTGGTTGATCAGGAGGGTGAGACAGATCCATTACAAATTGCGATTAAGGAGTTGAGGGACAAGAAGATCCCGCTGATCGTTAGACGTTATATGCCCGATGGATGGTAGGTTTATTTTGATGATGAGTTATGGATTTCACTGATGATTTTGATAGGTACGAAGATTGGACTTGCGAGGAATTGCTGCAGTGAGAGATGATGGTGGTCATTTACTTGCATTTGTGGTAATACTTGCGGGGAGACGCATGGAGTGGGCGATTGGCGTATGACAGGCGTTTGCTTATATGTAATTGGAGATGATCTATTTTGAGAAATACACGGATAAAATTGACCTTGATGATGGTATACATGCTTGGATGTATCGCCTGGGGTTAAAATTTCATTTAAAACGCTTGCGCAGCTTTCAGTTACACAATGAGCTCCGGTCTGACTCGAGTATTCGAAAACTATGCATTACTTTGATTGGATGAAAGGCGCATTTAGCTTTCTAAACTTCTACATGGGCCTCGCCCCTTAAGAATCGATCTCACGAAATTGCGTTCGGAGCAGCTTTCATTCAAAATAGTCGATCACGTTGAAAGCATAATCTTTTACTTTCACCTACCCAGAACAAGACTAGGTATTCATGCGAAGTCGACATTTCGATCTCGGAATTTTGGAACAGCGAAAGTGTTTGGAGGTCCTATCTGTCCATCTTGCAGTCTTCACCAAGGCAAGATATAGGCTACATTCCTGCGGCTCACAAATTTAGATATACAAGTCTAGGCAATTTGTTATATTAACAAGAATCGCTAAATATAGTTTTTAAAGCTTATAACTATTTACATGATCATTTCTGCTTCTATGAAATTCAGTATTTGACTCTTGTACTTTATGAGACTGAGAATAAGAGCTAAAGACATACTATGCGAATAAATATCTAGCGGCATGTTCAATGTGATCTCTTCCAAATGTCGAGATAAAGAAGTATGAGTGATCGTATCCCTATCAGAAATGGTTAGTCTAATTTCCCACCTGTAAAACCACTCAAGACATTAGAGAATTTAATGATGAACCTACCTCTTGGTATCTAAGCGTCAAATTGCCGTCGTTTCCTGACTTCTTTGCCGCAGCCTCGAAATTCTCTGGTAACAACTGTCCCTGTTTATAGAAGTTGTCTCCCGTTCCCTGTGTGATTCCCAATCATATTAGCAATCCATCTCATCCCCCAATGCATAACCAGAGATATGTCAAAATAGAAACTAACCACATCAATCAAAGCCGGGAATTCTCCCTTAAACTCGCTGATCAACTCCGTCGCATCATGTTTCTTCCATTCGTTCTTCTTTTCCTCCCCGAAATAGCCCTTGAAAGCCTTTTCTCCCCATGGACATTTAACCGGATTGGAGATTGGCGCAAAAGCGCTCACACTCTTGTAAATTCCCGGATTCTTCAAGAAGAGAATGAGAGCACCATGTCCACCCATTGAATGACCCATGATACTTTTCCTCTCAGAATCGAGTTCGGGGAAGGAGGAGAAGAGAGAAGAGGGGAGCTCGGAGGTGATGTAGCTATACATTTTATAGTTTGTAGAGTAGGGAGGGTTGGTGGCGTCAATATAAAAGCCAGCTCCGGTGCCGAAATCCCAGGAATCGTTTTCGCCGGCAATGTTGAGACCTCCTGTTGGTGAAGGGGCGTGTTAGCTTACGGTTTTCAATTAGTAGCTAGTGTGCTATCCGCTCTTCTCCTCGTTCTATACTCATTCCTTCCTTTAATCACAATCGCGAAAAGAAGACGCTTTCTCCTCTTCTCTGAAAACTTCAAGAAACTTACTCGGACTCGTATCTGGATAAACGACCGCAATTCCCTTCTCACTCGCCGCACTCTGGAAGAATCCCTTCTCAGCTCCATTGTCCCCCGTGCAAGTAAGACCCGCCAAGTAGAAAATTACTGGCACTTTTTTCTCTGCAGAGGCTTTAGGTGGTAAATAGAGATTCAGTGCCATTTCGCATCCCACTGTGCTAGCATCGTGTGTGAGCTTTAGCAATTTACCGCCGAACGAGGCAATGGTTGTAGTAGTTTTGAATGACATTCTCTATGATATCGATGTTAATTGGAGGTTCGAGAGAATAATTCAATATCTTAGATTATGATAGTCAGAGAAAAAGGAAAGAAGGGTGAGGGATGGAGGAAATATTGTTTGTTATGGTCCGTACAATGATGTGGGCATGACGTTTGAAGCTATTCGACCCCTCCTTCGAAGCTTGATGTTACCCCACATTGTTCGGACGTTGCTCGGAATTCTGGGTCAAGCTTTCCATTGCAGATTTTCGATGCTGTATTAGGAAAATAGTTCCTGTGGGTTCTTCGTAACTCTAGGCATATAAATTACATTGGCTCACCGGGAGGGTCATGGTTAACCGGGGCCATTCGCCAAGCTCAACGTCTGGACGCATTATACGGTTCATAGAATGATGGTGGCATTGTCATAAATGCCGTTCCATTCGTCCGCAAAACTGTACTCTGTCTCCATGGGGTATCTATCTCTTGAACTTCCTTTCGTTCTTTCATGGCTCTGTAATTTCTCAGTCCAGTAATGAATCAATGCAGTCCCTAAATAATTGCACCCTAGCACCTCCCAACTAATATCGCGATGATCATGATCTCGTAAAATCATAAAAAGAAGCCAACACCAACATGCAATCAAAATCCTTCTCTTGCTATATCAACTGACCCGTCTCCCCAAAACCATTGCATCACCATCAGCCGAGATATCTCTCTCGACAACCCCCAACTTAGCCCTCATCTCTACTTCTGCTTCTCTCCTAATGCGAATAAAAGCCAACTTCTCGAATCGACTCAAGGCTTTCCACCAATGTCGTCCAGCTTCATGATCGCTGATCCTCTCCAACAAATCAACAACTCTCATTCGAACATCTCGATCTTTGTGAAAAAGTCCAAGTGCAATATAGAAGAGTCCTGCATGTGATTCGGGTGCTACAGCTAGAAGCTGACATATTTCATCATATGAATGTGTGTATTTCTCCATGGCAACGTATATGTCACGGCTTGCACTAGGAGTAAGCTTTGTCATTCGGAGACGATCGTGCAGGTGATGGAGGTCAAGGGATTTGAGAGGTCGAAAGTTGTACAGCTGCACGAGGTCCTAAATATTGTAAGTCCTTAAAATCATGAGAGTTCAAGCACAAGACATACCTGCTTGAAGCTGTAGTAACTTCGAGTGGATCTCCAGCCCTCAATTCGATTTACATTACTAGCGAGCTCACGGAACTTCGCATGATCATCAGGCCAAACGTATCCATGGCCACTGACGTTTTCATTACCGGGTTCTGCTTTTTCTACACCGATGTACAAAGCACTTGCGCCGTAAACAGTCTCTTCAAATTGGGCCGAGATTCTGGTGAATTTGACAACCCAATCTCGCCATTTGGCTCGAATGACACCTTCACCATGTCTAGCTGCAATACTGCGGATCACATCATTCATGAATGCAGCATCCCCTGTTGGATCACTGGCGGCCTGGCTAGTTGACGTTGCAACATTCGTAGCACTGGCATAGGCCGGATTTTGTTGCTGAAAGTTTGCAAGTCCTTCTGTAAGTGGTGCTGGTTCGATTCGACTACTGATTTTCATTCGACCAGATGGTATGTCACATAATACGTCCCACCATTCTGGATGATTCTCGAAAGTTGGATTTGTTACGCCTGCAATAAACCCTGGTACTTTTAAAAGGTCGTCGATTTTACTAAGATCGGTATATGGAAAAGCATGGCGAGTGAATCCACGCAAGATTCCTCCGGATGCTAAAGCGCAAGCTGCAAGTACAGCTTCGGCAACTTCACCTGATGGACGATTGTGGCCGAGGAAGATGACACGTTTTTGAGTCAACATTGCATTAACTAACACAATGATAGGATGAGTATGTACACCTCCCGTTGTAAGATGAGGATGTAGCGCGAACGGGATGGGGGATTTGACATGAGGATCGTTGTATGTTTGTATGAGTTTTACAAGAGAAAAATCCCCGACTGTCTCGGGAGATACTGCAACAGGAACCTTGATAGGTATCGGAATTCCATTATACATGACCTTGGTCTCAAATTCGTGTGTATCCCGAGGTACCGAGTAATTCGAATGTATGAGTTGTTGAACATGTGCTTTTGTACCATTCCGCACCAAGCCTGGTCTCCTTTCTGGACTTTCGGACATGGCTGTCATATCGTCCAGCGCTTCGCCTTTGTCCTCCGCCATACGCATTTGAATCATTTGCTCAAACTTCTCTACAAATAGATCTTTGTTGTCGCTAGCTTGTAAGAGATGA